GGCCCGGGGGTGCTGCTCCGCCATGCCGCGGTACTGCGCCGCGTCCAACTGCAAGAACCGGGGCGGGCAGAGCTCCAGGGACCAGCGCAAGCTGAGCTTCTACCCGTGAGTGGTCGGGGAAGGGCGGTAGGGCCTGTGTGAGGGCTGGCCCTGATGATGGCGAACGCCAGAGGGCCCAGCCCCAAGTGAGGCGAGGCCCGCAGCGGCCCCTTAGGAGCAGGGGAGGCGGGGGTTAAACGGTGCATAAACTAACTTTAGGCGCCTGGAGCTGCCTTTGAACCCTGCCTGTGGCTGGGGGGGGAAATAGCGCTCTTGTCGTTGGGGGAGAGGGGAAAGGGAAGGTGAAGGGGAAAAGGGGAGGCAGGACCACTGTTTACTCGGCACTGGTGAGGCCGCACCTCGAATCCTGTGTTCAGGTTTGGGCCCCTCAGGGCAAGAAGGACGTTGAAGTGCTGGGGCATGTCCAGAGAAGGGCAGTGAAGCTGGTGAAGGGTCTGGAGAAACAAGTTTTATGGGGACCATCTGAGAGAATTGAGGTTGTTTAGCCTGGAGCAAAGGAGGCTGAGGGGAGACCTTATTGCTCTCTACAGCTATCTTAAAGGAGGTTGTAGTAGAGATCAGTCTCTTCAACCAAGTAACAAGAGACAGGACAAGAGGAAATGGCTGCAGGTTTCTCAGGGGGGAGGCTCAGGTAGACAGAGTGCTTAGGGATATGATTTAGTCGAGGACTTGTCAGTGTTAGGTTAATGGTTGGACTCAATGACCTTAAAGGTCTTTTCCAATCTAGGCAGTTATGTGATTCTCTGTAATCACCCTACCCCCCTGAAAGACAGGTGGTACTTGGTTAGAGAGAGGGGAGAGGCACAGCAGCATTGAAGGGCTCTAGAATAGGTATAGAGAATTCATAAAGTGAAAAACAAAGAGATTGGACAAAAACCCAAAATTTGAACTTGTAATCGTGGGGCTGTTCAGCTGTTAGAGCTAGGCAGCACCTGTTACCCCACCGTTTTCAAGAGTGGCTGCCTTTGTGGCAGGAGTGTTTCAACAGGACTAGCATTACTGAAAGCATTGGCTTAAAGGTAAAGGAGCTGAGTATCCTGTATCTGACAGCTTGCAAGCGAAGGGCCAAATAGAGTAGGAAAGCAAGAATAAATTGATTCTTTAAAATAAAATATTCACACTAGAATTGTTATCTTGCCTGCACAGTGAAAAGAGTTTTGTTTGGAAGCAATGGAGCTAGCTGGAAGCTAGCTATTTTGGTTACTGAAAACCAGTTTATGGTGGCTGCATAGTACTGTCTGGCCACCTGATTAGTCACCATCCCAGACACGCAGTAACCTCTGTACTGTTGCGGTTATGTGGCTGTTGTTTCCAGAATGATTAGTTAAAAACAGATTTTGTCAACTCTGAGAGAAGTAAAATCTGGGTAACTAATTATTAATGTATTTCTGTGGAATAAAAGTATGATAAACATTTGTCAGTGAGGAATTTTGTAGCATTTTATAAAAAATTGAGGAATAAATTTCACAACTAACATTAAAATCTGTTTTGGTAAAAAATGTACCTCAAACTAAGTTTTGTTTCAGTTGCTGAGTAGTCATTTCTATTCCAAGATCAGGAAGGCTATGTAGGAAGACCCACAGGAAGACTGCTTTGAGAGGGACTTTAGTTTAGAATAAAGGAAAGCTCTTTTTCCTGGCGTGTCTCTAATATATGATTCATCATAAAACAAACATGAAAATGAGGGGAAGCAAACTATTTATATTGTGTTAGAGAATGTGAGTGCTGCATGGATGATCCAAGCAACTTTGAATGCTGATACATATTTATATTCAAATGTAAGGCATCAGTAAAAAGATGACCGAAGCAACTTTGGATGCTGATACATATTTATGTTCAAATGTAAGGCATCAGTAAAAAGATGACTGCAGAAACACAGCTGGCTTATCTAGCCATTGAATTGTGCTGTGTTATGAATATCGTGGCCCTGTAGGAGAGGTGCTCAGATTTCCCTTATAGAGATCACATTAGCATACTACATTACACTACTACGTTAGCAACTACTGCTGATGTAAATTGCGGGTTTTATTCCCTTGCCTCTTACCACCCCAAAGAAGTCCTCTGCTGCTCTGTGATTCTGGGTCTGAGCCCCTCCTGAACTTTTAACTGTGACCTAATCTTGACTGGCCTTTGTTTTATTTCTTCTTGAGAGAAGAGTTTCTGTTGATGAGTAAGGGGATATTGAAGCAGGAGCCGGTTTTGGCAAAGTTGCCCTTAAGCTAAAATAATAAATTTCGCTATCAGACATCATCTCTCACTACAGTTTATTTTGTTTCCCATCTGGAGCTGGCCAGCTGCAGGAAAAGCAGTAAGTGCTGTGTTGCAAGGGCGACATCAGTGGAAGCAAATGTTCTCAAGACCTTCAGGGAGAGAGGGTGATTGCTGACACAACTTTCAGTTGAAAGAAGCCGTCCTCTTACTGAGAGCCTTCTTTGGACCTATGTAGTAACATCCCAGTTTAAGCTCTGTTACTCATGGGCATGCTGTATATGTAATGCTGCTCTTGGGTATACACAAGCTAAGCAGGTGGGATTCAAAAAGGCTGAACTTCTAACCTGTCCTTGAGAGGTTATTGTGTTCTTGCCAGCATTATTCCTTGCATTCCGCCTGCAGACACTTGGAGTCAAATGCATCCAAAGTTTGCTCTGTTTTCCTGGTTACTTCAAAACTTAAATGGCAACAAATTCAAAAGGTTGGGAAAGGGGTAAAGATGTGCACATTTATCCCATGGATCTCATGTATCTTTCTCTTAAAATCCACTAGGTTTGCATTTTAGGAACACTGTGGACCTGCATTAAGAGAGTCATTGCTGTGTGTGGCTTTCAGAGGAAACATGCAGCTTCAGGGATTTGAGGGTGGGATTTAAGGTTTGCCAAGAAGTAGCCTGACTTACTGATGGTGCCTTTCATAGCATTCACGTGATGCTGGGCACTTCAGGCTCTCTCCTCAGCTTCTGTTGTGTGGGAAGACCTTGCTGCAGAACCATTTTTTTTGTACCTTGAAGTTCCATAAATGTATAGTAATAAACATAACCAGAACTGATTGTTAATTAAAAGGAAAAAAGAGCTAAGGAAAGAGAAGTGGAGTCAGGAATGCTCCATTTCTGTTTAGGGAGTAAAACAAAAAATGGCTTTTGTGAAGAGTCATAGAATCACTCAGGTTGGAAAAGACCCTTAGGATCATCGATTCCAACTCTTGACCCTACTATACAAAGCTCACCCCTAAGTCGTATTCCCCAACACCACATCTAAACAACCTTTAAGCCCATCCAGGGATGGTGACTCAAATACCTCCCTGGGCAGCCTATTCCAATGTCTGACTACTCTTGCTGTGAAAAAAATTTTCTGTCTGCAGGCACTTGTTCACATCTATTGTCCATCATACTGCCAACAGCTAATACTTTTTGCATCCTGGAGTTAGAATTGGGTTAGGTGTAATGACCATGAATCTGTCTCTTACAGTTTCATATACACAAAAATAAATTTTTAAAAAATTATTGCACAGGATTCTAAGGAATAGTGCATTCTTAACAGGAATTTAACAGTGCTCAGAATTCAAATTATGGTTTATGTATATCATATGTGGTTATATGCTATAGTTGAAAGAAACTTGCTATGCACCAGAGAAATCTGAAAGTGTGTTACAAATAACCCTGAAGTCTGTCTGGTAAGAGATAAGAGCCAAGAGTGGTGTGAAGGGTCATGTTGGCATTACTGAAACTGCTTGACTGTACATGCATTATAATGAGCCTTTAATTTCCCTTTAACTTGTGTATTGTGGTTCATTAAGTAAATTGCTTGTGTTTGCCCACTTTCTTTCTATTTAGGTCTTTTTCCTGTGTAGTTTGTTTGGCTGTTTGCATGTGTCTTCACAGTATTATTTTTTTTTTTCTCTGAATGTATATACGCTTCATTTTACTTTTCAGGTAGGTCGGATGGTTGAAAAGTTATGGATTACATAATGTTATGTGGGCTCTCAACACAAAATTAGGACCAGACCTAATTTTTTTTAAATAAAGTCAGAGTATTTCATCGAACTTCAGCAGAACTACGTTCTGAGCAACTATTACAGGATCAAGCCTTTTAAAACATCTTGTCCTTGGCTTCTGAAACACTTGACTAGCAGAAATCAATAGAAGTTCTGCTGCTGAACTCTGGAGCAAATACCCAACTAGAAATAATTAGGATAAATTATTAGATTAACAACTAAGTGACATTTTTAAAGGATCATTTTAATCTGTTTGCAAGGAAAGACTGACTTATAAGGACCAATGAGCTACACATTATTAAAAAAAAAAAAAAAACCCGGAAAAAAAGCTAACAGGTGTTTTTATTTGTTCTTTTGAATGCTTTAAAAAAGATTTCCGCTTCATGATAAAGAGAGACTTGAGAAATGGCTGCGGAATATGAAACGAGATTCATGGACTCCAAGTAAGCACCAGCTCCTGTGCAGTGATCATTTTACCCCCGATTCCCTTGATGTGCGATGGGGTATACGATACTTGAAACATACTGCTGTACCAACTATTTTCCCTTCCCCAGATGATAAGGTAACGTATTCCTGTCTTTTATCTAATACAGATGCTCTTATTATCTGTAATATATTCTTATTTTAGTTTTAAAATGGAATTCCTCTCCATCAAAATATTATGTTAATAGGACTGACACAAAACGAATATGTGATTCCATAGTGTAAAGGATGAACAACTTTGTCTGGAGGTTCAGTCTCTATTGTAATTGGAAATTACAGTAGCATTTCTTATAGGAAATTTTCCAAAGGCAAATAAACTTCCTAGAAGAAAATTATGATTCTAAATATCTTTTTTTATCCTGTGCAATTATTTTTAATTAATATTTTTATGTTCTTTTAAGACCTTTTATTAACTATGCATAAATAGTGGCCTTGGAATGTGTTAGTTTCAACCTACACATCTCTCTTTCCTGTCCCCAACCTCTGTTACACTTGAAGAGCTCCGGAGTGTAGACTGCTGAGGATATGCAACGAAGACTATTCCATCTTGCCTTTCTCAGAGCTGTCCTCTTGGTTACACAAAAATACCGTGCCACACAGGCACCTAGTCTTGATCAAAACTATGCTAATTCTCATCTGGCCCATAACTGCCTTCCTTGGGATCACTGACCTAATTTCAGCTGGAATAGAGTTAATTTTCTTCCTGGTAGCTGGTGCAGTGCTGTGTTACGGATTTAGTGTGAGAGTAACGTTGATAATACACTGATGTCTTAATTGTTACTAAGTATCGCTTACCTTAAGTGAAGGATTTTTCAGGTTCCCATGCTCTGCCAGTGAGCAGGTGCACAAGAATCTAGGAGGGAGCGTGGCCAGGAGAGATGACCCGAACTAGCCAAAGGGATATTCCACACCATGGGATGTCATGCCCAGTATATAAACTGAGGACATGGCTCCTTGTTGGGGAATCAAACCCTGGTCTCCCCGGTGGGGATACTCACCACTGTACTTCTGGAGCAGGTGAAGGAGAGCTTCCCAAAAGTGCTTACTGATTTAATTATTTCTTCCTCTAAATAAAGAATGTGTCCCACGAGCAGTGGTAGTTGCCTGTTCTTCAGTATTGTAACCATTCTATGTTAGTTTACAAGGATTTTTTTTATTTTGAATAATACTGTCTTCAGAATTAAAAAAAAAATCATTTTTTATGAATTTCCAAATTTGGTTGTCAGAATCGAATTGCTTGTTTAAAAATCCACCTGCGCACATTAATATGTTTCACTGTTCCAAAGTAATATTTTTTGTTGATTTTGTTAGCTTGGAGTTCTCTCTGGGGTGGACCACATGACTAAAAATTTGCCATAACTAGCTAAAACAACTTTGTTGCATCTTTACTGCAAAAATCTTGTACTATATCTATTTAATATACTTAATACAGTGTTTCAGGTGGTAATAGGAGATGCAAGCTAGTCTTTGTGAAACAGGTTTGTTTAGCCATTCCTTTTCAAGTGCTTCTAAAATTATGATTACTCGTGTAAATCAGTAAAGTTCCTTAGCATTAGAAGAAGGGGGGAAAAAAGTATTAATGCCTTTAGAGTTTTAAAATAATATTTTAACATTTAGGGCCTGGAGCAGAGTTATGGAAGACACATGAATTTTCAGGTCTCCAGTATAATTTTTAACTGGTGCTCATCTAAATTACTAGTTATGGAATATCATGCTATAAAATGAGATTTGCCCATTTTTTTTCATTTTCAAGTGATTTCCTAGTTACGAGGTGATTGGATTTCAGTGTCTTTCTTTTCTCTCTAGGAAAAAGACTCTTCTCGGAACACCCCACAAGAGGTAAAGAGACAAGGCCTGGAAGAAACAAATAAAAATGTAGAGTCAGAAAAGGCATTTCCATCACTTGAACTTGGTACATCAAAGAAAAATTCTGTAATTGCAGAAAATATAGATGAACAAGCACAAGTAGTTTGCTCAACTTCATTGAGTCAACCTTTAAAAATTCAAAAACTGCAACTTCAAAGTGGACAAGAGTTTCAGGCAGAGAGTGTCATTCTTGATAATTCATCTGAGCAGCATATACATCGACCTAATCCCGTTTTGTTGGCAGCAACAGTCCAGGGCGTGGAAGCTACAAGAGTTCATGCTGCTGTAGAGAGTCCAATGGGTTGTACAGCTACAGTCTTGCAATTTACAGACCCTGACTACTTGAGTTCATCTCTGAAACTGAAAGATGCTTTAGGTTCGATTACTGACTATGCAATTGAAAATCCTAACTCTCATGTTGTAGGCTGTTCTGTCGAAGTACGGTCAACAAGTGAAAACACAGTTTTGCTGAACACAGTCACACAAACTATTGAACAGTTCAGTGGAAGTGAAGAATCTGTCATTGCAATCATTGTGCCAGCCGAGAGCCCAGAAGAGCCTGAAATAGTTGACAGTTCTTTCTTGCCTGTTAAGCAAGAGTTTCCTGACACACAGAAGACAGAAACAGATAAACCTGTATTTATGAATGCGTATGGTGGAAGTGAAGTATTACAAATTGAGCATTCATACTGCAAACAAGACGTAGACAGAGATCATCTTTGGCAAAAAATTTCAAAGCTCAACTCTAAGATCACTCTGCTTGAAATGCAGGAGATAAAAACTTTGGGGAGACTCAGATCCTTGGAAGCTCTTATTGGACAACTGAAGCAAGAAAACCTGCTTTCTGAAGAAAAGCTCAAGATTGTAGAAAACTGCTTTACAACACTTGAAGTGACAATGATACAGTAAAGGCTTTAAATGATTGTTCTGAAATACCTTTTTAGCCTCTTTGATTGTATGTTTTTACAAATTAACTTTCGTTTCAGTCATGGCATTTTAAGTATCTAATGCAAATTGTGTGAGTAGCAAATATTCTTTGAAACGTTGCATCGACCACTACCAAAGCTAGGTTGTAAAATATTGCCTATAAAACGTGTCTTACAAGTAAACTTTAAAAGGCTTTATTTTCTTTTAAAGTTTTGTTAAAAAGTATATAAATTGACTCAATGAAGATAAGTTAAACCTTTCTAGCTGCAGGCTCCTCTAAAATACACAATTCCTGCATTTGGGGCAGCAGTAGAATGGACAGAATAGGTATGTAGGATGGAAAATTATAAAACTGTTTTTTGATGTTGTTTTTCAGGTGGTTTTTTTTTTAAAAAAGAAAGGTGTCCTGATTCTCTTTCAAGTGAGTAATGAGGTATGTAGTACACACTGGTGAGGCCACAGTTAAGCTGTAATCTTTGGTTCATCTAACATTTGTTCTGATAGTTTTTTGTACACTTTGACCTTATAAAATTGTTTCTGCAATAAAAGGTGCTTCTTTTCATTTACTTCTAGAAACAAAATATTTAAGAATATTGGTAGAATGAAGAGGTCCATCTCTTTTTTTGGATGGCTTAGCTCAAATGGAAAGAACTGTCTTTAAATAGTAATATTTTTGCTGGTTAGTAAAAGGTAAAGCTCTGACTACTTGGTGAGTGCTAGCTGCTCAACATCGATCCTCGTGCAGTCTATAGCTGGGTAATGCATATACTCTTAATAATACCCTGAAGAAAACGGTGCTTTGCAGAACAAATTGCTAGTGAAAGTAGCAGAATCTGACTAATTTTTCTGTCTTGCTCTTTAAGAAATGGAATTACAAGACTAGAAGTCTGCTCTGCTGTCCAGATTATTAGCTGGGTTTAGTGCACAGGATACCACTACAGTAGAAAATACGACTCATTTTGGGGGGAAATTAATTTGCTTCAATACTTTCTGCTTATTCTACACTGTACCAGTTGTTAAGAGTTTACTGTACAATCTCATACAGTGAACTAGTACTAGATCATCTAGTCCAACTGCGATGTGCAGTTGGATTAGAGGGTCATGGCAGGCCCCTTCCAGTGGAACTAGTCTAGTCTATTCTACAAGCATGTGAGAGACTTGGGTGTATTTTCCATTATTCAGAATTGTCCCCCCACCAGTTCAGTCTGACACTAGAGCAAATGGGTTCCTGTGCATGGATTTGTTTTCCTATATTCTCTATAAGGAATTGAAGCTCAAGCAACACTGATTACAAAGCTGGCCTCTAACTAGATGGCAAATTGAAAACTAGTAAAATCTCAGAAAATTTTTGGAACTCGCAGAGTAGCTGTCTAGAAGTTAGACGACTAAAGCACAGTGCTGTAAGAGGTTGGTCTGCATCGGTAGCCGTTGTAATAGGCCTCTTTTGTCCTTCAACTTGTATCTTCTTTCATGCTCTGAGCACAGAATATGCTTGGGAAAATTCCTAAAGAAGACAAAGGTCAGTTATAATATGAATTATTTACAGGGACTCTGTGACATGCACACTCTTTTCCGAGTACAAAGTTCTCTCCTTGTAACAAAAGAACTCACTTGTTCTGCCTTGTGTGCTCTAAAATCACAAGGGGTTGTCCTCTGTCATCTAGAAACATGGCTGCTCTGCAGCGTCCAGTCCTGTGAAGGCAGTCCAGGTGGCCTCCCTGAATTGTATGTTTCATAATTTTTTATAAAGTAAGAGATCTTTCAAAGTGATTTACAAAATGCTGTATGAAATTGCTAAATGACTTGGCAATTTAAAAAATTTTGTGAATGTTGCTACACATCTTCTAGTAAGGCTATATTTTAAGACTTACCAGCCAGTTTGAAAGTCTACCGTATGTCTTGAGTGGCAGTGAGAGCTCAGACGTCGCAGAAGTTACAACACCTTAAGCTGTTGCCTTAGCAAAGCTCTGTTCCTGGAGAAAATATCGTGTCTTAACATGGTATTTAAATTTCTGACCTGTTTTTGCCTTTACTAAGAGTTTCCAGTATTAATGTTATTTGTGACATAGATGTCTTTAAACCTGAGGAAAAACAAATGCTCAATTTTCCTCTTTTATGGAGTTTCTTGGGACCACAGCAGAACTTGGTAACACTACAAGCCTGTCATTAAGTCTACAAATTTTGCTGCTGTAGGGTGAGTTAGTCCAATGGGCCCAGGGTGGACGTAACAGGCCCTCTGCCTTTCTTTACACGTGACTTTTTGTGCCAGGTAGGTCATTTGTTAAGGCCTACAATTAGCTCTCACCTGAGCCTGCTAACTGCTGCCTAAAGTAACTCCTACTCTCTAACCAAGCAGGGTATTACAGATGTTAAGCAAAGGTGCCTAAAAAGAGATGTTAAATAATATGACAGTTTATTAACATAATGTTTTCAAGTAGAGCGTTACATCTTTAGGTTTAAATTTGCTAGTTTTCCTTAGTAGTAAATCCACAGGTTCTGCAGCAGACAGAGTCATCATTTCCAAAAAAAAAAAAAAAAAGAAATCAGTCAGAGGTTGCCGGAAAACAAGGTGATTTTTATGTAGCCTTTCTCAGGACCAGTCTTCTAGGGATTAAGAGGCTGAAACTCTGCAAAACATTTGAAGGATCAGTGCTGTGTTTTATAGAGGATTGTTGGAAATTGATTCTAATAAAATACTTTGTGCAGACACTTTTGTATTCATTTAAAAATATTTAGTATTATGGCTGGCAGTTGTTGCAAGGTCCTTTGCTTCAGTGATATGCTGCCACAGAATTATTCAGGTTGAACATTATGAGGAAGGAAAACCACCATGTTGGAAATTGCCCACACCACTGAATTAGATACTACATATATGTGGTGTTTTCAGTTTCCTAAACTTTCGCAGCCTTTGCACACAATTTTCTTTCATTAAACTTATGAACTCCTGAAGGTGCCATATTATTCCCTGAGATCCAATGGAAACTGCATTTGTCCAGTTGGAGTCCAGCATCCAAGTACTACACCGCATCATAATTCCTTCTGTAGTGTATCAGGCTTATTTCATCCAAGAAAATGTTCTTATTTTTCAATAATTATGCATTTGCATCAACATCTTTTTCTTACTTTTGACTGCCTGTTTCCAACCATATAATTAAATACTTCAGCACTTTACAGATGTAACAGATGCAGGCTGTTTTCTTAAACTCCTGAAATGTTAAACTATTTCTTTCCAGCTGTCTGCTGGCTACTGTAGGAATTTGGCAATTGGCTTTCTCCTAGATCTTCATTTAAATTCCATGCTTTCTATTAAACTTATCTACAAGCAGTGTACTTCCATCTAGAATAAACAGGTGCCCATTTGCCCTGGTTCTCTTCTTTACAAGGTGAAGTTTTATTTAACTCGGGGAGTTTTCTTTAATGCAGGGAGAGCTACAGAAGATTTTTTTCTTTCTATTAGACTTAGAAGTATCTGGGACTTCTGTACTTTCTTGCATCAGTGGTACAAATATTGACTGCAGTCTTGCATGCTTCAAAAGCATTCATTAGAAGTCTGTCTAGATCTCTCGTTAGATGCCTTTGATATCTTTTTACTCTACTGCAGTGGGGTTGTAATTATTCTTCCTTTACACTTAAACCCTTGCCTGTTCTGAGACTTTGCTCCTACATTCAACAAGGCCAAGTGCAAGGTCCTCCACCTGGGTTGGGGCAATCCATATTATCAGTACAGGCTAGGGAATCAAATAATAAGAGAGCAGCCCTGTGGAATATTACTTGGGGGTACTGGAGGATGAAAAGCTGGACGTAAGCCAACAATGTGGGCTTGCAGCCTAGAAAGGATCCTGGGCTGCATCAAAAGAAGTGAGGCCAGCAGGTTGAAAGAGGTGATTCTACTCCCCTGCTCTGGTGACACCTCTCCTGGAGTTCTTTGTCCAGCTCTGAGGCCCTCAAGACAAGAAGGATGTGGACCTGTTGGAATGGGTCCAGAGGAGGCCACAAAACTGATCAAAGGGCTGGAGCACTTCTCCTGTGAGGGAAGGCTGAGAGAGTTGAGGTTGTTCAGCCTGGAGAAGAGAAGGCTCCAGGGAGACCTTATAGCAGCCTTCTAGTACCTGAAGGGGGCCTGCAGGAAAGCTGGGAAGGGACTGTTTACAAGGGCAGGTAGTGATAGGGTGATGGGCAATGGTTTTAGACTTGAGCAGGGTAGATTTACATTAGATGTTAGGAAGAAGTTCTTTACTATGAGGGTGGTGAAGCACTGGAACAGGTTGTTCAGAGAGGTGGTGGAGGATCCCATCCCTGAAAGCATTCAGGGTCAGGCTTGATGGGGCTCTGAGCAACCTGATCTAGTTAAAGATGTCCCTGCTCACTGCAGGGTGGTTGGACTACATGACCTTTAAAGTTCCCTTCCAACCCAACACATTCTATGATGATTCTATGCTTCTATACTTCTGTGATTCTATGATTAGAAACCAGCAGCAGACATGAGCTCTCTCAAAATTCCATCTATGTTAATAATTCATCTTCTCGAACCTCTTCTGTTTTGCCCAAGCTAGTCTACAAGGAGGAGTGCTCTGGGTTGGTGCCATGGGTCAGTCACCCGACTGTGAAGCAACTCCTCGTCTGACATCATTGGCTCTAATGGTTCAGGTCATGCAGTCACGTTAGATGCTGTCTTCTGATGAGAAAACTTGAAGCTACATGTTGGATTTTAAAAATTAGACTACCCTCTACCTCCTGTAATAGATCAATTTCCGTCATACCTAACTGTATTTTGGTTCAAACTGCCTTGCCTCCCATCACTTGATCCCCACACCCATCACACTCGATGCCTCCCATTCCGTGATAACAATGCTCAGCTGCAGGTTGCTGTCACACATGCAAAACCGATTCGGCCTGCAAAGCACCAGGCACATCCTAGCCCAGCCCTTCAGTGCCTCAATGAGGTGGTGTAACGCCATGGACCCCATCACCTCGCCAGGTGAGGCCTCACGCATGCAGGGGTTCTCTGCACGCTGCTGATTCCTGCAGCTGTAATTAATTAATTGTGTCAATGACAGTGGTAGACTCTGGTCTGTGCTATTTCTAAACCCACCAAGGTAAGCGTCGAAACTCCTTTACTCTTGCATGTTTTGAATTGCATAACAGCAACAAAACCCAGAACCTATTTTTGTGAGAGACTGTATT